GGGGTGCCTCTTCCTCCTCCTCGCCCTAGTCCTGGAGCGGCTCCCCATCCTGCAGGCTCGGGGGATGCCAGTTATACTCCAACACCAACGAGCAAGTTACACCATGTGCTTTGGGTTGGTGACTGACGCGCTTCAGGCTTGGACTTGGGCGCGATTTCACCAACCCAAGCAGCGCCATGATGTGCGCGAGCTTGTCTGATGTTGGTCTACAGCTGGCACCCCCCCGCCTGCTCTCACTGCGGCAGAGGCGGTCCTTGGCCATTGCCCGCGCCCGGCGGCTGGCGCCGCGCGTCGCGACGCCGCGCCCTGACCGCCATTTCTTCAAACGGCGGCGCGGCGCCCCTCCTCGTCCTTTTCCGCCCCTCCCCCTCCTCTTCTCCTCTCCTTTGCTCGTTCTTCTCATCCGACCCTCCTCCTTGGTGTTTCTCCTCTTCCTGACTTGGTTATGCCCGTTCTTCTCCTCCTCTTCCATGCGTCTCCCTGACGTTTTCAATTCTGGCGGACCCGAGTGCTCCAAACAGGAACCCTCGGCCATAAGTGGTCGGGCACATTCCGAGCCATGCGGCATGCGACGCGCAGTGCTGCTCACGCCCGACAAACGTTCACACCATCGATAATCGCATCGTTAGCATCAAGCTGAAACCCGCTGTTGAAGCAGCACCTACGCGTAGAACGGGCGCACTCTGCCATGACAAGCAGGGGGGGCGCCCCTGGTGCACCTAGCTGTCTTCTCAGGGGGGCGCCCCGCTTCCCATGTATGTCTATCATGGTAGCCGCCTCTTACCTCGTATATCTGTCTGCTTACATTGATGTACATGTCGCCTACACTCCCTGGTTTCAGGGGGTCCTGCTGGCGTTGAACGACGGGCCGCGACGACAACGACAACGACGGACGACCGACCGATCGACCGCCAAACGCCCCCCCCCCCCCCCCGCCCCCCCACGCCGCGGCAATTCTCCGACACGCTCCGCAACAGCATTCCAAGAAAACTCCGACGTGATCAAACAAAAAAAAAGAGAGAGAGAGAGAGAGAGAGAGAGAGAGAGAAGAGAGAGAGAGAGAGAGAGAGAGAGAGAGAGAGAGAGATGAGAGAGAGATAGAGAGAGAGAGAGAGAGAGAGAGAGAGAGAGAGAGAGAGAGAGAGAGAGAGAGAGAGAGAGAGAGAGAGAGAGAGAGAGAGAGAGAGAGAGAGAGAGAGAGAGAGAGAGAGAGAGCGCGACCTGCAAGACGCCCTACAGGTCGCCGACGCGCCAGACGTTCAGCCAAAGCTGCAGCTGCCGCGCGCCCCGCATGGACGGGGGCCCCGCGCGCGCGCAGCAAGGGCCGAAAATGGCTGCGGAAGCTGAAGCAAAGAGGATGGGCGGCCCCACTACGCACCGAGGATGCTTCCTCCTTCCTCGCCCCTCCCCCCCTTGGGAGGGAATGGGCCTACCTGGCGCCGAATGAACACACCGCGAGCCCGTTCTGGAACCAGAAAACACGCTCTCGGGTGGCACCGCGCAGTGCCACCTCTGTGCACGCATGCCTGTCCATGTTATATACGCGTGTGTGTACAATAAAGGATTGGATGTGTATATGTATATATATATATGTATACGTGTATATACATACATATATATATATGCATAAAATTGTATACTATTATTGAATATATACACGTAACATCTGAAGATTCGTGCGACGGCCTGGTTCGGCGGCTGCTGAGGGTGGGCCTGGTGCGACGCAGCAGCGGCCGGCGGCGGTTTGTCGCGGCGACATGGGGGGCTCCACCGAGCGCGATACTCACAGCAACAGCGTTCCTCAGAACTGCAAAACGTTGGGTTTCTTGTCGCGTGGCTGGAAGGAGGAGGATCGCGATCCCTCTGGGCGTGCTCCGTGTGCCAGCAGTCTGGTGGCGATGGAAGTCCTGACTATGTCGACGGTGACTGCTGCGACATAGTGCGCGAGTAAGACCACGCGAGAGATAGCGAGAGACAGAATGTTGGTGCTGCAAGGACCCCCCCAAGGCTTACCAGGAATCCCAAGGGGTCGGCGGTGCGGCGTAAGCCCATGAATCAAAACCATGTGATCTTTGCTGCCGAGGCCTTGTGGCTTCAAGCCGCCTCGGGAAAGCTTCAGAGAGCCCCAAGAAGCCCCCAAGGCAGCCCACAACTGCCTAAAGAGACACCCGGACGGCCCAAAGACTTCCCGAGAATCCTCCAGGACGGCCCGAGAGGGCTAAACACACAGAGGAAACGATGCCGAATTTGTTCAGACCGCGCGCTGAACTGCCGTGGGTCTTGAACCCAACCTCCTTCACGCTGCGCTGACGCGCTGGGAGGGATGCGAGGTTTGACGCAGGCAACTAGATAACCTCCCAAGACGTCATGACTCTTCACAAGTGGTTCGTTTCTCTCGCAGTGATATAAGATGCGCGTGAGGCGCATATCTCGTGCACGTTGCGAACTTAGCACCCTTTGGTGATGAACCATCCTGGCAGAACCGTAGAACCGTAATCACGAGGGGGGGGAGGGGAAGGCAGACGAGAGGGGATGGTGGGACAGGAAGGGGGGTCGAAACAGCGAAGGCAGAGGAGCAGGGGCTGGGTGGTCGGTTCCAAACGTCCAGTGCCGCATGTGTGCTTCGGTGGAAACCCTCCCCCCCCCGCCTCCCGTCTCGGTGCGCGGTTGGGGTTGGCCCGAGGCGACGCGCGGCTGGCCTGGGGGTGGCCACCCCAAAGAGGCTGCGGCGCTCCACCCTGCTCGCCTCGAGAGGCCAACTCGTGAAACGTGCTATCTTCGCGGGCGCGCAGAAACTGGCGCCCGGGCGTCGAAAGCAGACGCCGCCGCACTGTAATGCAGACGAGCGCCGGCCATGGCGACGGTGAGAGGTGTGACCTGATCTGGAACAAGAGGTTCCACTATCCACGTCAGCCCCTCCTACACCCTCCTTGCCATGTCGCCGTTCTTGTCCCCGTCCCCGCCGTCCCCGTCCCCTGGCCTTCTCCACCCCGCCCTGCTTCCCGCCTCCACCAGTTTCCCTCGTCTATTACTCCCTTCGTCTCCGCTCCCCTTCCCTCGTCCTGCCTCCTTCTTCCTCCTTCTCCTTTCTGTTCCTCCTGCCGCCTACTTCCCACCTCGTGGGACCCCTAGAACTTCCGTTGAAGCACCAAAGACTGGCTTCACCCCCTCCCACCACAATACAACTCGTTTCCTGATCCGGTTCCTCCTCTCTCCTCTTCCTCCCATCCTCCTCCTCCTCCTCCTCCTCCTCCTCCTCCTCCTTCTCCTCCACATCCTCCTCCTCCGCTTCCTCCTCCCCGGCGACGACGACCACCACGACCACGACGACGACGACCACGACCACGAGGATGACGAAAACCACCTCAAATCGGCCCCCGTCCCTCTTCTTCGGGGCACGCCCTGGCTGGGACTCCGAAGCCGGGCCCGCCCAGGCCGTGGCGGCGGGCCCCGCCTCTGCCCCCCGCGGCCAGGGCCCCCCGGATGGGCCGACTTTCCACCGCTGCCGCAGGCAAGACGGAGGAGAAGGGAGGACGGGGAGGTCCTCGTCCTCGTCCTCGTCCTCGTCCTCCTCCTCCCCCTTCCTCCTCCTCCTCCTCCTCCTCCTCCTCCTCCTCCTCCTCCTCCTCCTCCTCCTCCTCCTCCCTCCTCCTCCTCCTCCTCCTCCTCCTCCTCCTCCTCCCCCTCCACAATTACTCAATCTGAATACTACTCTCCTCTTCCCCCGATGGCGGCCTGAAAGTAGCCGACCCCCCCCGCGTATTGTTTTTTGCGCACCAGATTCCCGGGAGTTGGGTTTTCGCCCTCGTTTTTTTTCAAAATGCTGCTCTCGCTGAGGCGCCGGCCTTCATTTCTGCTCCCGAATCGTTCCGAATCGTGCTCCCGCTGCAGCGTGGGCCCCATTTTCGGATCGGTGTTTGGCCTCCGTCGTTCAGGATGGCGTTCTCGCCCCAGCGCGGGCCTCTTTCTCGCGCGCCCATCCGCCCGCCACCACCGCGCCGCACCACCACCACCACCACCACCACCACCACCACATCCACCACCAGCACCACCACCACCAGCACCACCACCACCACCAGCAGCAACACCACCTCCACCACCACCACCACAACCACGCACACACACACACACACACACACACGTACGCACGCACGCACGCGCACCACCACCCACTACGCACACGCGCGCGGAGCCACAGGTCCGCTACGACACGCGTCCACGGATAGAGAAAATCAGCGCCATGGTAAGGGATGGGAGGGAGGGGTATGACGTCAGATATGACGCGAGTGCACCTAGCTTGTCCTCCTCCTCCTCCCCCTCCTCCTCCTCCTTTTCCTCCTCCTCCTCCTCCTCCTCCTTCTCCTCCTCCTACTCCTCCTCCTCCTCCTCCTCCTCCTCCTCCTCCTCCCCCTCCATCCTCCTACCTATGGTATCACCCCCAGACTCAGAGAGGCGAGCACGGGAGGAGAGAAACAACAAGCATGGACACACACTTTGGGAAGTCCGCGCGGGCTTCGCGGATCGGCGCTGCACTCCCCGCCCCTTCGGGGCCCCCAAACCGTGTGGTGACGGGCCGCGTGGTGACCTCGGAATCCCCCAACGACCTCACCGCGCGGTTCGTCACCGCACGGTTTTGGGACCTCGGAGGCCCCTATCGCCCGAGACGTGCTCGGAGAACGACCCGAGTCCCAAAATCGCGCGGTGACCCCGAATCTACCTTGACTCCCCACACGGTGTGGTCACCGCGTCTTTCGGGGATCCAAGGTCCCGGAGCCTGGAGCGCGCCAGGGGCGGCGCTGGAGGCGTTGCCAGGGCGCCGCCAGGGGTACCCAGCGCAGATTCAAGAAACCCGCGCGGACCTCCGAACGTGTATGCTTAGGCCGTTCCTTTGGCACCTGGAGAACAACACAAAAACACTTCGCCGTCGTCCTTCTCGTCGCCGCCCACGTCGTCCCCGACGGTGGCGGCGGCGACGAAGGAGAACGTCGATACGCGAGGGCCGGGCCGCTCCGACGGGCCTCTCGCTGCCCACGCTGAGGTAATACTCAAGCACCAGGCTGCCATCTTCCGGCACGAACTGGCGGATGGGGGTGGGGAAAGCAGGGGGAGGAGGGGGGAGAAGGGGGCAGGAGGAGGAGGAGGAGGATGAGGAGGACCATTGCAAACACAAGACTCATCAACGGTGTTGGGATACATCCTCCATCCAAGCTCCCTCTTCACAAGCCCCATACAATGGTTCACTTGCCACTGAGGGACGTGCTCCGTTGGGATACAGCCGTGTGAAAATCCTGAAGCGTGCCAAGACATCATTACGAGGACTTCACCACGAGACAACCTGACTGTTGTGTCTTGACGGTCCGGAATCGTGCCAGAACACCATTCCTAGGACTTCAATACCGCGCCCTGACAAACCTGAATCTTTCGAAAACACCATTTCTGGAAGGTTAACCTTGAAAATCCGCAAAACTCTGGCAAATTATCAAAACGAATGTGCGCGGCGCCATGGCGAAAGCCGCATTTTGAAAACGACTCGCCCTCAATCAGTGAAACTCTTGCAAACTTTTGAAGCACAGGTGAACGGCGCCAAGGCGAGAGCCCCATTTTGAATACCACTGAACCTTTAGTCGAACTCTTGCAATTGTTTGAATCGAATGCCCGCGGCGCCAAGGCGAGAGCCGCATTTTGAAAACCACTGGACCTTAACCCACAAAACTCTTGCAATGTTTTACAACACATGTGCCGGCGCTCAGGCGAAGGCCACATTTTGAAAACGAGTTGCCCTCAGTCCGTGAAGGTCTTGCATGTTTGCGACGAATGTGCGCGGCGCTAAGGCGAGAGTGGCATTTTGATAACCACCCGTCTACAATCCGCGAAACTCTTGCATGTCTGTCTTGTTTTCAAAACAAATTGCGCGGCGCTGAAGCAAGAACCACATGTTGCAAAACGGCCCGCCCTCTAGATGTGAAGCTGATACTAGTTTCTAAGTTTCATGCTCTTGAACTGTTAGAAGTCTCAGGCGAAACGCCTGGCCCGCCCTTCAGAACAGCCTCGGGGTGCGACAGGGAGTAGTTAATCATGCAGAAAATGAATGGAGGAAGCAGGACGAGGATGACTGGGAAGAGGAGGAGGAGGACGAGAAGGAGGAAGAGGAGGAGAACATGGAGGCGCACGATAAGATGGAGGAGGAGGGGGAAGCAGGGGGAGAGGAGGAGGAAACAGGAGAAGGAAGAGGGGGAGGAGGAGGAGGAGGAGAAGGAGGAGGAGAAGGAAAAATAAACAGTAGGATAAGAGGGAGGCGAACGAGAAGACGGATAAAGAAGGGGAAGCAGGAGAATGAGGAGGAGGAAGCAGGAGGTGGAGGGTGGAGAGCATGATCATAAGGAGGAAGAGGAGGGAGGAGAAGAGAAAGGGAGGGGAAGGAATATGAGGAGAGAAGAGGAGGAGGAGGAGGAAGAGAAGGAGGAGGAGGAAAAGGAGGAGGCATATGAGGAGGAAGAAGCAAGATGATAAGAGTGAGGCGGATGAGAAGATGGAAGAGGAGAACACCTTGCTGTCGCCTGCAGATATAATACTCTATGCCTTCTCGGGGTTCACTACTTCTTTGTGCCTCTTCGCACCTCCTGCTCCGCTTAGTCAACCTTCAGGTGCCTTACTGGTTTACCTTCTTCGCCGCAGCAAGCTCGTTCTTCATGCCTGGTCAATGTAAATTATCCTGGCGAAGGGCCCAACCAGATGCAGTTGCGAGTACCGCAATTGTGAGTATCTTCTTCGACGGCGCTCCCTATGGGGCCACGAACCGTATGAGGGGTGTGCCGAAATCTGTGCGGTGGGCGCATGGGAGCGCAGCCACTGGGGCCTTCGCTGGAGCTCCCTATGGGGCCACGAAGCGTGTGAGGGGTGTGCGAAATGGGTGCGGTGGGCGCATGGGAGCGCAGCCACTGGGGCCTTCGCTGGAGCTCCCCATGGGACCACGAAACGTGTGATGGGTGTGCCGAAATGGGTGCGGTGGGCGCATGGGAGCGCAGCCACTGGGGCCTTCGCTGGAGCTCCCTATGGGGCCACGAAACGTGTGAGGGGTGTGCCGAAATGGGTGCGGCGGGCGCATGGGAGCGCAGCCACTGGGGCCTTCGCTGGAGCTCCCTATGGGGCCACGAAGCGTGTGAGGGGTGTGCCGAAATGGGTGCGGCGGGCGCATGGGAGCGCAGCCACTGGGGCCTTCGCTGGAGCTCCCTATGGGGCCACGAAACGTGTGAGGGGTGTGCCGAAATGGGCGCGGTGGGCGCATGGGAGCGCAGCCACTGGGGCCTTCGCTGGAGCTCCCTATGGGGCCACGAAACGTGTGAGGGGTGTGCCGAAATGGGTGCGGTGGGCGCATGGGAGCGCAGCCACTGGGGCCTTCGGTGGAGCTCCCTATGGGGCCACGAACGTGTGAGGGGTGTGCCGAAATGGGTGCGGTGGGCGCATGGGAGCGCAGCCACTGGGGCCTTCGCTGGAGCTCCCTATGGGGCCACGAAACGTGTGAGGGGTGTGCCGAAATGGGTGCGGTGGGCGCATGGGAGCGCAGCCACTGGGGCCTTCGCTGGGTGGGGCCACGCCACGCATGGCCACGTGCTGCCGGTGGGCGCATGGGAGCGCAGCCACTGGGGCCTTCGCTGGAGCTCCCTATGGGGCCACGAAGCGTGTGAGGGGTGTGCCGAAATGGGTGCGGTGGGCGCATGGGAGCGCAGCCACTGGGGCCTTCGCTGGAGCTCCCTATGGGGCCACGAAACGTGTGAGGGGTGTGCCGAAATGGGTGCGGTGGGCGCATGGGAGCGCAGCCACTGGGGCCTTCGCTGGAGCTCCCTATGGGGCCACGAAACGTGTGAGGGGTGTGCCGAAATCTGTGCGGTGGGCGCATGGGAGCGCAGCCACTGGGGCCTTCGCTGGAGCTCCCTATGATCGTCATGGTGATGATGATGATGATGATGATGATGATGATGATGATGATGATGATGATGATGATGATGATGGTGATGATGATGATGATGATGGCAAGAGGGAGGGGGCAGCGGGAGGAGGAGGAGGAGGAGTGAACGCGGGGCGCTGTCTCTTCAAAACGAGGACCCAACACCACAGGATGGTTGGGAAAAAAGAGGAGGAGGCGGAGGAGCAGGAGGAAGAGAAGGAAGCAGGAGGAGAAGAGGAGGAGGAGGAGGAGGAGGAGGAAGCAGGAGGAGGAGGAGGAGGAATGTACGCAACCAAGAGGCGTGCGTCCACCAGCTTACGCGGCGTGCACGCGGGCGCAGCGCCGCGCGGCGGGAGCAGGGCTTACCGCGGGGAGGTTAGCCATCTGGCCAGCACACGGAGTCGGTAGGGGTAGGCGCGGCCGCCGAAGGCGCGCCCGCCAGTGGCGCAGCTGGGCCCGCCAAAGGCTGTCCGACAGGCGTGCTGGAGGCCGCCTCTATCCCCGCCTGAGTTGGCTGCGAGCACCTTGTTCCCCGCCAGCCTCCTCCAGCGCGCCTCTCGCCTCCTCCCCCTAGCCCCCGGGGCGTTGGGCACGTGCCCTTCCTCCTCGGGGCCTGCATTCTTCGGAGCCCGCTCCCCCTTCTGGGCGCGCTCCTTCTCCCCTCTGCCCGGCGCCTTTCGGGCCTGCGCCCCGCACTGGGGGTGCCCTCGGCCATCTGTTTCACATCGGCCTCGAGAAGGGTTGATGTTGATGCGAGATCCTGTCCGCGAGCGAGACCAGCTCGTAGGTGTTCCCAGCGACGTCGGGGCCAGCCCACACCGCGCGCCTCCGCGCCAGGCCCCGCGGGCCGCCGCACCGCTGGAAGCTGCGAGCAGTCGTAACTACTCCTCCTGAGCCGCCCAGCCGCGGCGTTCCCAGGCGGAGGAGACCAGCGAGCCCGCGAGCAGCGCAGGTGCGTGCGAGGCTTTCGCGACCCAGCCTCCGCCCACGCGGGCGGCGGAGCCGACCGCCTGGAACCCGCGGTCCCCCAGCGGCCGCCGAGGCTCCGAACGCCCCAGGCCCGCGGCGAACTCCCAGGTACAGTCGGACTCGATTGGACAGGACACGAAAGAGGACACAAGACCCTTCCGAGGACCACATTGCCACGGGAATGTAGGAAGCATGGGTCGCGAGACACAGGACGCATGGGTACCTTTGATTTGGCAGGGTCGACCTACTAATCTGGGCCGACTGTACCACGCGGCCTGGGCCCGGCACGACGCGAGCAAGGCCAACTGCGGAAAAGGGATCGAGGCGTGCGCCACACAGGGCGAGTGCAACTGAGGGCTCGCCGTGGTTGCCACGAAAGCCATTGCAAAGTGATCTGGAACCACACGAATACAGCTATGTCGACTCGGGCGTGGGACGGTCAACGGGGCTTGGAAACCATCCAACGAAATCCATCTTTGGCAGTGGCAGCGGTGGCGCGGGCGATGATTATGATGAAGATAATGCTGATGAGGAAAATGAGGAGTTGCGCGCGCAGTAATTTAACGAGAGCGACGGCATTGACGATGACGCTTATGACGGCGGCGGTGATGATGATGGTGGTGAATATTGATGAATCAAACATCCAAACAATTCATCAGCCGATCGCCATTGCAGCAACAAGTACGAACAAAAAACGTCTCCCTGCGCCTGGTGATGAACTTTTGTGATGGTGATGGTGATGATGATGGTGACGATGACGATGGCAATGATGACGTCGATGATAACGATTGTGCTGATGATTGTGATGAGGAAGTGCGAGAGCCTTGCTTCCCAGTCTCATGGCCCAACCGTGAATTTGGCGGGAAGGGGGGAGGGGCGGTGGAGCCACATGCACCCCCTTTTTCTCCAAGTAGGCCGCCCTCACCCGCATCCTCAACCTCACTTCCTTCCTCGTCCTCCGTCGTCGTCCTGGGCCTCTTGCTCGCCCTCTCCGTCCGCCTCCCCTCCACCTCCTGGCCCGAGCAGTCCTAGCCTGGTCTGGTTTGGTCGTCCGCACCTGAGCGGGGCGCGTTGTGCCAACAACCTGGGCAAAGGGCCGGCGTGGGCCCGTCCCAACCAGGGCCCTTGCAGTGGGGCAGATGCCCTTCGCGCGGGGGCCGGGCCTGGTGTTCCTCCCTCTCCCCGTTCAGCTTCGGCAGTCCCCTGCTGCTCCAACAGATCCTCTTGCCCTTGCTCCTCTAAGTGAAGTTGGCGTTCCAGCTGCCGCTTCCTGCTCCTCCTCCTCTTCCTCCTCCTCCTCCTGCTCCTCCTCCCTTCGAAGCTGCAGCCTTCATCTTCAGGCAGCCGTCCAAGGGCCCCTCCGAGACTTTCTTTGCGTACAGTTCCTTCTGCCGCTTGCTCCGGGGCCCCTTGGCCGCATCCTTGCCCTCAGGGAACACCATCAGCCGCACGTCCTGGACGGAGGAGGTGGCGGAGAAGGATCCAGACAGCTCCAGGGTGCAACAAGGAGTGCAATGGCGAGGAACCACAAGATCTGACGTCGTGAACAAAAGCACAAAGCCATGAAACATAACAGCCAAAACTCTCGATCCCATGTTCACGCGGATCTCTCGAGCCAGATCGACCCGTGACGGCCCCGATGGGCCCAACAAGAGGCAAGCAGGCATGACAGCCGCGATCTTGTCGCGGCGCCGGGGCCCCAGGGGCGCGGAAGCGGGGAACACCGAGGACGAGGAGGCCTTCAACGAGTGCCCTCGCCAGCCTCCTCGGTCAGCAAGGCCGAGGACGACAGCGAGGACAACCAGGCCTCCAACGAGCGCCCTCGCCAGCCGCCTCGGCCAGCGGGGACCAGAAGGACAGCGAAGACAACCAGGCCTCCCACGAGTGCCCACGCCGGCCCTCTCCTCGCTCGCGCCCGCACGTGGCGCCGGGCGCTCGGGAACCCGACGCGTCCAGACGTCCGACGCGGCGTGCCTCTCGCAGCGCGCGGCCCCGAGAAGGTCCCGGACCCCTTCCCCCGGGGGGCGGCCGCCTCGTGCCGGAGCCGTCCCTGATGGCCCCCTGGGTGTCTTACAAAGCCTCCTGGGCTGTCTTGGGAGCCCCTTGGGGCCGTCCTGGGGGCCTCTTGGGGCCGTTCTGGGGCCATCTTGGAGGCCTCTTGGGAGATCCTTGGGCGATCTTTGGGGGCTTTTGGGCCGTATCGGGCCGTCGGAAGGCCGAAACGAAGCAAAGTCAAAATCCTCTGAAAAACGAAGGAACATCAGTGTTCTTGTGGCCCCCTGGCCCGAAGGCCGGCCCCTGGGGGCCCGAACCAGCCCCGCAGAGAGGCGCGCGAGGGAAGCGGGGCGGCCCACGCGCGCGGGCCGCGGGGGGGGGCTCCTCGTGCCCAGCGGCCGTGAACGGGGGCGACACGAGGGCCTTGCCCATGCCTCCGCCAGGCGCGCGGGGAGGCCGAGACCGGAGCCAGGGCCAGGACCAAGATGATTCGGCTGCACGTAGGAGTGACCCTGGGCAAGAGTGCCTCCTCCTCCTCCTCCTGCTCCTCATCCTCCTCCTCATCCTTCCCCTCCTCCTCGACCTCCGTCTCCTCCTCCTCCTGCTCCTGCTCCTCCTCCTCCTCCTCCTCCTCCTCCTCCTCCTCCTGCTCCTCCTCCTCCTCCCTTTTGGTGTGCGGCTTTTTGGGGGGCGCGAGAAGCGCGCAAGACGCTACTATCGCACAGAGCGCGGCGATCGGGGGACCCCACTGAGCGCGCACCAAAAGTCACTCCGGCGAAGGGTCACTCTTGCGTGTAGCCGAATGATGAGGAGGTGGAGCAGAAGGAGCAAGGGGAGAAGCACACGGGGGAAGAGGAGAAAAAGCAGCAGGAGGACGAGATGATTCGGAAGAAAGGGGAAAAGGGGAGGAGGAGGAGGAGGAGGAGGAGGAGGAGGAGGAGGAACAGTGTGAGGAGGAGGATGAGAAGGACCAATGTAAATCTAAGACGCATCAACGAGGCTGCAATGCACCGTCCCTCCAAATTCCCTCCCTGCTTGCAGGTCCCTACAATCCTACAATCATACATTCTCATCACGGGAAATGCCACGTTGGCCGCTGTTTGGGAACCCTCAATCGAGTCCAAACATAATTCCTGGGATTTCAGCGTCGCGAATCTACGCGACGGGTGCGTCTTGACAGTCCTCAACCGTGCCAGAACAAAACCCCTTTGGACTCCAAGCGTACGAACTCTTGAAACTGCGACGCACTGTCAAAAACAACGCGCGCGGCGCGAAGGCGAGCGCAAGGGGAACCGCGCTCCGTCCGTGAAGCGGCTGCACATGTTTAAGACGGGTGTGCGCGGCGCTCGGGCGAGAACCACATATTAAAAACCACCCGCCCTCCATTGTTGAAGTTGCCACACAGTTCAACCTTCACAAACATGCACTGTGAGGAAATATCAGGCGAATACACGACAGCGGGGGTGACAAGGGAGACTTAGTTTCAAGGGAGAGGGATGAAAGAGGAGGAGGAAGAGGCGGAGGAGGAGGACGACGACGACGATGACGACGATGACGACGACGAGGGGGAGACGGGACGACGATGAGGGGGGACGATGATGAGAGTGGGCGATGAGGGGGGACTGGAAGACGGGGACGTGGGAGGAGGGGGAAGAGGAGGAGGAGGAGGAGGCGGAGGACGAGGAGGAGGAGGAGGAGGCGGAGGAGAGGAGGAGGAGGAGGAGGAGGAGAGGCGGAGGAGGGGAGGACGAGGAGGAGGAGGAGGAGGAGGAGGAGGAGGAGGAGGAGGAGAGGGAGGAGGATGAGGAGGAGGCGGAGGACGAGGAGGAGGAGCAGGAGGAGGAGGAGGAGAAGGATGATGATGATGATGATGATGAGGAGGAGGAGGAGGAGGAGGAGGAGGAGGAGGAGGGGGAAGAGGAGGAAGAGGAGGGGGAGGAGCAGGAGTGGGAGGAAGAGGAGGAGGAGAAGGAGGAGGAGGAGGAGAAATAACAATAATAATGATGACACTAATACGAATAATTCGCCGGCCCAACGGGCCAGGTCGTGCTAAGATCTCCGGTAACTGGTTAACAGTATTAACAGTATTTCTAGTTCGCGCGCGCGGGGCGGCCCCTGGGGGTCCCCCGGCGAAAAGTACCCCGACCAACGCCCGGTCGCCGCCCGACCGCCGCCCGACCAAGTCTACTCAGAGATGGTTTTCCTTCTGGGTGCGGCCTCTCAGGCTCCCCAGAGCGCGCTCAGAGTGCCCCAAGAGGCCCCCAAGACTGCCCAAGAGGCCCCCGAGACGCCCAAAGAGCGCTCGAAGACGCCGAAGATGACCCCAAGACGGCCCAAAAGGCCCCCAAGACAGCCCAAGAGGCCTCCAAGACGCCCCAAGAGCCTTCCAAGAGGCCTCCGAAGAGAGCCCCAAGAGGCCAAAATCGTTGATTTTCATTGGTTTTTTCTATGTTTTTTGTGTTCTGGCTTTTTCGGCTTCCGGACGCTCCAAGACGGCCCAAGAGGCCCCCAAGACCGCTCCAAGACGGCCCACGAAGCTCCCAAGACGGCGCCGAAACGACCCAAGAGAGCCCTCAAGACGGCCCAAGTGCCGCCCAAGACGGACCAAGAGGCCCCAAGACGGGCCCAAGAGGGACTCAGGAGGGATACCGAGAACTCAAAAATGGAGCCCTCCGTCCCAGAAGGCGCCCAGGAGGTCCCAAAGAGGCCCCAAGAGGCCTCCAAGAGGCCCCAAGATGTCGCCAAGAGGCCCCAGGAGACTCCCAGGAGGCCCAAAAGAAGCCCCAGAAGGCTTCAAACATGTCTCCCAGGCGCCCCCGAACGGCCTCTCAACAGACCCCAAGAGGCCCCCCAAAGAAGCATCTTGACGACGACTCTATTTCGCCCCATCGAGAGACGACCCCCAGGGAACTGCTTCACCATCAAAACTCCCCACGCAACGCGTCCGAACGACACCCGCCCCCAAGAGCGCAACATGGGCAACGAACACACAGACAAAAACCAGCGATGCCATATCACGGGCCGGCGGAATGAGCGAAGCGATTCAATAATAATAATAATAATAATAATAATAATAATAATAAATAAATAATAATAATAATAATAACAATAATAACAATCATCATAATAATAATAATACTAGTAATAATAATAATAATACTGATGATGATAATACATAATAATAATAATGATAATACTAATAATAATAATAATCATAATAATCATAATAATCATAATAATCATAACAATACTAAGAATTATAGAAATACTAATAATAGTAATATTCACACGGGGAAAATTACTAATATAAATAATAACAACAACAATCATAATAATAAGAATGGTGGTCATAGTGATGATGATAACAATAATAACCGTAGCAATAGTAATAATACGAATAATGGGAATAAGAAGACGACTGATAATAATACTATTAATAAAAAGAAGAGGACGAGGAAGAGGAGGAGGATGAGAAGGAGGGAGAAGAAGAGGAGGAGGAGGAGGCGGAGGAGGGGGACGATGAGGAAGAGGACGCATGAGGATACATCCAAGCGCACAAGGGGGCGTGTTCGAGCGAGGCCAAATGCCTTCCAACTCTCCTCCGCTACAGCGGCGCTTGCGGGAGCAGCAGCAGGCGCCGCGGCAACAACGAACCCGTCCACGCCCATGCCGTGGGATGCCGCCTGCGCGAAGTGTGTCAGTCCGTCGCGCCCAGCGTGGGCGCGTGTGAACTTTCCGTTGTCGATACTGGCGGGATTCTCTCGCCCTTTTCTCGTGATGCCCGTGCAGCTCGCGGCGAGATGGCGCGGGTCTTCGGTCGCCGCCGCGCCGCATTCGCGGCAGAAGTACAGACGGTACTTCTGCATGAAGTGAAGCTTTGGGCGAGGCGTGCAACTCGCGCCCGAAAATTGTCGCAGCGCCCTCCGCTGGCACCACTTGCTGGCTCGCGGTTGGCAGGGGCGGCTGATAGTGGCAGGCCGTCGCACACGCCTGCCGCATTTTACACTGGTCGGTAGTGAGCCCGCAGCGCGTGCATCTGTACTTGCCTGCGCGGAGCTCGAAGGCATGCTGGGTGGGCTGCATGGCTGGCCGAAGCTCGGCGAGGCGCGGGCCCTTGGCCTGCGAGGGTCGATCCGCGACCCATGGGTCTACAACAAGCGCGTCAGCAAGTGCCCTGCGCGCTCTCCTGCGGACGAGGGCGCGCCGGGCGTCATGCAAGTCAGCGGGCGGGGCCTGGCCTGCGAGCGCTGCCTCGCAGGAGACTTGTGCCCCCACGCCTGCCCGCGCGTCTGCCGACACATTGCCCACCGTGTGAACGTAGCGGACAGGGCCTGGGCCAGGTGCATCCTCGCTGTGAGCGGGCACCCATATCACCTCGAGCGCGCTGTTGCCACGAGCACGCGCTGCCTCGGCAATGCGCCCCCACATATCTTGACTCGCAGAGAGGCATCTGATCTGCGGCGAAGCAGAGGCCGCCTGGCCAGCTTTCGAGCGCGAGTGCAAACGCCAGAAGCTCTGCACGGTGCACAGCTTGAGAAGGGGCCCCCCAGGCCCGACAGGATGCCCTCCCAGGGGGGCCACTCCCCGAAGAGGCTCGTCATTGCGACGCAGGCTGCCCCCGCTCTTCGGCGACGGGGGTCGTCGCTGAAGTGGCTCCCCGACCCGTCGCCAAACGCAGTTCGGGCCCCATCGCTGCTCGCGCATTCCCCGCAGCCCCGCCCCCCCCCCCAAAAAAAAAAAAAAAACGAACAACAGCGAAGACAGGGCGCGCGTCCGCGCGCGCAAGCAGGCCGCGGAGCCAGCATGCAGGCGAGGCCTCGGCCGCAGCAAGGGCAGAGGGCAGGAGGGCGTCAGATTCGGCGTAGTCCTCGTGGTCGCGGTTGCAGGGTCACACCCAGATCCCGTGCATGAGCGCCTCGCCTGAAGCACCGCAGCGTGGACAGGTCTCGCGCGCATGGCACCCCGTCTCCACGAGGCGCTCCCTGGGCCACTGCGCCCCCGCGGCCACGCATGGGTTCAGGGCCCACTGGTCGTGCTGGTCCTTTTTGGTGAACTTCCCCATCCCGTGCACAATGGCGTGGGCGTCTGGGCCTGCGAGTTGCAATCCTGCGCCGTGTAGATGGTTGGCCGCGTAATTTCACGGGCCCTTCTCAGTCGACTGGCAGCGCCCGCGGACGAACTCCGCAGGGCCCACCTCGCGTCGCCCCCCCCCCAAAAAAAAAACCTGACCGACCTCTGCGCGGGAGGAGCCATTCTTAAACTTCGGTCTCCTCTTCCCATGGTGGGCGGGACCACTCGCGCGGCGCAGTGCACGCCCATCCCGCGTCTGTGAGGGTGGCCTTTACGGCTGAGATAGGCCCGAGCACCTTTCTCCACTTCTTGCTGCCACATCTGATCGTCTTGTCGTAGAGGGGCTTCCACGCCTTCGTGACCCGCAGGCGGTGGTCTGGGTTGTAGAATAACCAGCCTCGAACCTATCCCTATCCGTAAGATTGACACGCTAGAAGAAAATGACAAACTTAGGGATACACCCTCAGAAACAGAGGAAGTCCCTAAGATCGCCATCGCGATGAGGCGATGCCCAACATAGGGGTAGGGATATGTTCCAGGCTGGTAATAAAACCCGAAGTTGAGCCACCCCGTGATCGACTGACGCCTCAGCTCGATGGCGGGGTCCTCCTGTCTCAGCGCTGCAGCCAATACGGTGGATGGGCAGCGCCCCGGCACCGTGCCACCTGTGGCCCGGATGGCCCGGCGCCTCTGCTCCAGGAGGGCCGCTGGGGAGGGACACATGGTCTGGCGGCCGCATGCGCCTCGGGGTCTCGAGCCCGCGGCCCTCGGGCCCTTCGCTACCTTGGCGAGGGGGGCGTGCTTGACGTTGATGATGATTCGTTCTGTCCGTCGCTTGGCCGTCTGGCCCCCTCGGCGGCCTCGGCGGCGGCCCTCCGCTTGGCGCCGCCCGCGTCGATGCCGAGGTCGACGGAGGCGTTCGCCACCTTGATGGAGTTGCCTTTCTTCTTAAGGCCGACGTGGGCAGCGAGGGCGATCGTCCGGCGCGGTGCGACGGCGGTCTTCTTGGGGGGTGCGCGCAGGCCTGCTTCCGTCATGGGTGCGCAGAGGTCCGTCGCAACTCCGATCAGGCCCCCGATGACCTGCGTCGTCTGCCCCTCCGCCCTGGCCCCCGCGTCGTCTGCGAAGGTCCACGGGCCTGCGTGGGAATAGGCGAGGTGGGCCCCCTGGAGGACGGGTCCGAGGCAGACCTTCGCCAGCTTCCCGCCGTTGCAGCTGCCCGCCACGATGGGCCGCGGCGCGTTGATGAGGTCGCCCACCCAGCCGCGCATGCGCGAGCACCTGGGGGCCAGGCAGAGCTGCGCCTCCAGCGCCACGGCCGTCGGGGGGCACGTCGCCCCAATGGCGGCTTCGAAGAGGGGCGCGAAGCAGACCGAGTCGTTGAACTTCTCGACGCCCACGAGGGGCGCGGCGAACGCGACGCCGGGCGCCGCGGCCGTCACGTCGAGCAGGGCCCTGACGGGCGCCGCCCTGGGCGCGCTGGACCCCATTGATGGCGGTGCCCCAGAACTCCGCCAGCTCCTTGGACCACTCATCCACGATGCTGGAGCGGATCCTGGCCTAGGTCTTGGGCGTCGTGGCCAGCGTGCCCAGGATTCTCTCGCCGCCCGTAGGCTTGGGGGCCATAGCTCCGAGAGCGGCGCAGAGCTGCTGCGGCCACGGGCCGCTCACCTCCACCGCGTTGTAGATGTTGGCGAGCTCCTGGATGCCCTGGCCCCGGGGTCTCTGAACGTCAATGGGGCCAATGTTGTCTACCCCATTCGCCTTCTTGGGGTTCGCGCTGCAAGCGACGGCCTGGATGTGCTGTGGCTCGATGATCGGGAGAGGGTCTTCCTTCGCGAGCTTCATGGCCTCCTCGTGCGCGTAGATGATCTTCTCCTGGTTGTAGTGCTCGGACTTCCAGATGTCGCGCCACGTGTCCGCGGCGGCGTTCATGACCAGGTAGGCCCCCCCTTCCCGCAGTGGTTCGACCCTTCTTGTCCTCCAAGCGCCGGGCCTTGGGGGCGCTGGGCCTTGGGGGCGGTGACGGCCCGACGCAGCTTGCCAGGGGACTCCTTCCAAACTTGCTTCGCCCAGTCGAGGTATCTCTTCCGCGCTCTGCCCGCTGCCCTGGCCATGGCCTTGCGCGCCCACGTCTGGGTGGTGGCGCCGAGGTGGTGCAGGTCGTCCTCGTCGCAGAACTCGAGGGTGGCGATCTAGGTCTCCCACTCATCGATCCCCTGCGGGTCCGTTTTGCTGCCGAAGTGGTCCTTCTGGACATCTGGATCGTCCAAGTCGTCTAGCTTCTTGGGGATGGTCCTGTGGATCTGCTCTCGAGCCTTGGGGTCCTTCGCGCTCTTGACCAGGGAGGTATACCGCAGGATGAGGGTGATGACGTGCTGCCACCACGTAGCCTCAAGATCCTTCAGGTGCGCTCGTCCGGGTGATGCCTTCATCAGCTGCTTCGTGTTTCTGTGCCCCTCGGCCCTGCCCTTGTACCTGGCCCTCTCCTCAGCGGGGACCTCGCGTGCTTCCAGGAAGGCAATCTCCAGGGTGGCGATCCACTGGGCGTAGGTAAAATTCATCTCCGCGGCGACGCTCGGCCTGTGCAGGTGGAAGATGTGCCCCCTGCCCTCTTTGGTTCCGACGCGGTCACCCTCGAACTTCAGGTATTCGCTCACGATCTGGGCGGCCTTGTCCCTGGAGCCTTCTGGGATGATGGAGGGCGTGGGTCCTCCTTGCTCGCGTCGGCGTGGTTGCTGTGGAGGGCGTCGAACTCGTCGCGCACGTGCTCTGGCAACCTTTCCCTCCTGGTTCTCAACGCCTTCCGCGAGCTTTGGACCTTTAACTGTTAAGGTCAGCGCCCTTTGGGGGTCTGGTTCGCGCGGGGAGGGCTTTGGGAACTTTGATAGCTTTGTACGCCCAGGGATCGGCGCTGCCCACCGTGTTCTGGATGCCATAGTGGGTCTTCCAGGGGACGTCATAGACCGCCTGGATGTCCAAGTGCGAGGCGATGTCTGAGCGTACGATCGCGTAGTCGTGCACGGAGCCCTTGCCCTTGCCGCACGTCGCCTTGCACTCGGGGTCGGTGAGGGTGGCACCGCCCCACTTGGTTAGCACGGCTTGTCGTCCCACCAGTGCGGCTCGTAGTTCCAGCCGGCCAGGATGATCCACGGATCGGTGAGCATGTCCACGAAGGTAGAGATGGAGACCAAGATGTCCCTGTTGGCTCCTTGATCACGAAGCCCAGGGCGCAGGTATGCCGACATCCCTACGATGTTGCCACTCTTGGCGTGGAGGATCGTCGTCGGCGTGGAGGATCGCGGGTTGTCGAACGCTTCGGGTCCACGAGGCCCAAGAGCCTGCATAACAACGGGGGGGGCAGGAGGGCTAGGCACAGAGGGGGGAAGGAGGAGGTGCGGAAGGGAGCAGGGGACGGAGGGAGGGAGAAGGGAAAAGGGGGGCGGCAGGGAGGGGGGAAGGGGGTGGAGAGAGGAGAGGAGGGAGGATGGAGGGCACTGGGTGGAGGCAGGTTGGGAGGGAGGGAGAAGCAGGGAGGGAGGGAAAAACATGGATGGGTGCTGGAGGCAAGCAGGCAGGCGCCACCGCGCTTGAGATCGCGCGGGGCCGCATCCCTTCAGCTTCGAGGGGAGGTGGCCGATGCGCCTGGGCGCGGGGGGCCAGGGCGCCAAAGGGGGGCGGACCTTGGCGCCCTGGCGCCGCGTCTGCTGCCGCTGCGGGGGGACGTCCGACCGTGTCGCTGCGCCTGCTGGCGCGCTGCATCCGACGCAAACATGTATCGAGGTCGTGTTCGATGTTCTGGGGGCGCCCTGCAGAACAACCCTGAAATACCCCGCAAGCGACCCAATATCGCCCCAAGAGCGTCCCAAGCCTTCGTCGTCGTCGTCGCCTGCATCCTCCGCCTCGTCCTCGCCGTACCCCCCCGTCATCTGCTTCATCCTCCTCCTCATCCGCCTGTTCGTCCTCGTCCTCGTCCTCATCCCCCTCGCCCTCGCGTTCGTCCTCGTCCTCGTTATCGTGCTTGTCCCCATTGTCGTCTCCCTCCTCGTCCTCGTTATTATCCTTCTTTTCATCGTCGTCCCCCTCCTCCTCCTCCTCATGCCCCTGCTCCTGCCCGTCATCATAGTCACCGTCAGCATCACCATCATTATCATCACCATCATCATCATCATCATCATCATCATCATCATCATCATCATCATCATCATCAGCATCAGCATCAGCATCATCATCATCATCATCATCATCATCATCATCATCATCATGCCCCTCCTTCTTTTCCTACCCTCGCCGTCCGCGCGGGCCCCAACGATGGCCCGAAGAAACCACCCCGTTGTCCCCATCTTATCTCTCAGTTCACCCTGGTTACCCGCTATGAGTCAGAATTTGTGTCTATTCCTCCCTTTGCCCGTCAGCTCTCAAGGAACAAGGGAAGCAGGAGATGAGTAGCGAAAGCCAGCGGACATTACGACAAAGTAAACCGTGATAGCGAGGAAGTGTCGTATCGAGGTGGTGGTGTTTGAGGCTTGGTGCTCGGGGTTTGGTGTTTGGAGATTGGGGTTTCGTGTTTGGGGCTTGAAGGGTGGTGTTTGGTGTTGGGTGTTTGTATTCGAGTGTTTCGTGACATGGGTTTCGTGTTTGAGGTTTGGGGGTTGGTGCTTGGTGTTTAGTGTTTGGTGCTTGGGGTTTGGTGTTTGGGATTTGGAGCTTGGTGTTTTGGGTTTGGTGTTCGGCGTTTAGTGTTTAGTGTTAGGGTTCGGCGATTTGAAATTCGTGTTTGGGGGTTGGGGTTTGGTGTTTGGGAATTGGTGTTTGATGTTTTGGGCTTGTTTTTTGGGGTTTGGTGTTTGGGGTTTGGTGTTCGGTGTGTGGTAGTCGGGGTTTGGTGTTTGTGGTTTTGTGTGTGGGGTTTGGTGTTTGGGGTTTGGTGTTTGGGGGTTGGTGTTTGGGGCGTGGTGCTTTGTGTCCTGGGTTTGGTGCTTACGGTTTGGTGTTTGGTGTTTGGGGTGTGGTGTTCGGCGTTTGGTGATTGATGCTCGGGGTCTGGTGTTCTGGGTTTGGTGCTTGGGGCCTGGTGCCTGGGATTCTGTGTCTGGGTTCTGGTGTCTGGTGTTTGGGGTTTGGGGTGGGTGATTAGGGTCTGGTGTTCAAGGGGGAGCCTGCGCGTGCCGCACCCAGAGATCCAGCCGACATCGGCACCTGGCCGAGCTCCCCCGGGGAGCCGGCTTTTTTTCCCCGAGGAGCCAGCTCCCTCCCCGGGGGACCACGCTCTGCCTGGGCGCGCGGGGGGCGCGCGAGGAGGGGCGAACGAGGGGGGGGGCGAGGAGGACAAGGAAAAGGGCGACGACGAAGACGAGGGGGCAGAGCGCGACAATGATAACGCGACAAGCGATGATGATAGGGAGGAGGAGGAGGAGGAGGAGGAGGAGGAGGAGGAGGGGAGGAGGAGGAGGAGGAGGGGAGGAGGAGGAGGAGGAGGAGGAGGAGGAGGAGGAGGAGGAGGAGGAGGAGGAGGGCGAGGGAGGGCGAGGGTGGAGGAGCAAGACAGAACGCAAGGCCATGGGGAAGGGCGAAAAAACGGGCGAACCGGACATGAGCAAGAGCGCAGTCTGCCGCTGCTGCCAGAAAACCAGGGGCGGGTCACTGGGAGGTTCCAACCCGCCCCCCCCCCCCCACCACGAAAACCCGGTGGGGGCCACTGGAGGTTTCTACTCCCCCCCCAGGTCCCAGGTCATCATGGAAGAAAGAAGGGGGGGGGGGGGGGGGGGGCACTGCCGGTTCGACCGCCCCCCCTCGCCGCTGGCAAACGAATCCCCCTCCTCCCCCACTCCGGACAGTGAGACAGCGGTGGGGACAGTGGGACAATGGCGGGGACAGCGGGGACAATGGGAGAGTGGCAGGGACAGTAGGGACAGCGGGGAGAATGGGACCGCGGCAGGGACAGCGGCGGGGACAGTGGTGGGGACAGCCGGGATAGTGGGACAGTGGTGGGGGCACTGGTGGGGACAGTGGGGACGGTGGTGGGAACAGCGGGGGCAGCGGGACAGTGGTGGGGACAGTGGGGTCAAAGGGCCAGTGGCGGCGACGGTGGTGGCAGGGGCAGTGGGGAGGGGACAATGGGTACAGTGGTGGGGACACTGGGACAATGGTGGGGGCGGCGGCGGTGGGAACAGTGGTGATGGCGGTGGTGCGGACGGTGGTGGGGCAATGGGAGAGTGGTGCAGCGGGGACAGCGGTAGGGACAATGGGGACAGTGGCGGGGACAGTGGGGAGAGTGGGACAGCACAGTGGGGCACCAGTGGGGGCAGTGGGACAGCGGCGGGGACAGTGGGGAGAGTGGGACCGCGGTGGGAATACTGGGGGCAGTGCGACGGTGGCGGGGGCACTGGCGGGGACAGTGAGGGCAGTGATGGGAACAGTGGGGGCAATGGGACACTGGGGGGGACTGCAGGGACAGTGGGGCAGCGGTGGGAACGGCGGGGGCGGGAACAGTGGCGAGGGCGGTGGCGAGGGCAATGGCGGGGGCCAGAGAATCGTTTGCCGGCGGCGAGAAAGGGGGGGGGGTCGAACCTGCAGCGACCTCCCTCGGTTTTCTGGAGGAGGGGGGGGGGGCGGGGAGGAGGTTTTGCCGGGGGAAGGGGGGGGGGGGGGGTCGAACAAGGGGGGGATCTTCGGGGGGTGGGGGGGTGGGGGACCCCAGGTTCTGGAGGAAGAGGTGGGAATTTTCCACGGCAAAGCGGCGGTGGATCGCGCTCTCTCGGACAAGAAGTAAGGAAAAGGAGAGGTCGCGAGGCCCCCGTCGGCGCCCGCGTTCGGAGCCGCGCGGCTGCGGGCACCCTTCCGGAGGAGGCGGTTGGTTTTCGCGCCCCGACTTGGGCGCGCCCAGGAGATGCCCGGAAGGCTTTGCAAGGCTTCTACAGAGGCTTCCGACGCCATCTCACAGGCTCATCAGAGGCTCATGAGAGGCCCCTGGAGAGCTGGCAGAGCGGCCCTGGGGCTTGCCTGCTTGAAGCCGACTTCCCGACGAGGAGCTATGAGTGATTCTGAGATAATGTCGAGGGGCTCCTGAGAAGCTCCCAAGAGACTACTGACACGCGAATGAGAAGCGCTGTCGAGGATGGCCTTAAGCGCAACTCATGTAGCCGAATATCACCTCCAAATGCTGCCTGTGGCGGCCACGCACCTGCTCCGAATGCTGCCCGCCAACGCCCCCAACGGAGCTCCGAATCGCGCGGAGTCAGGTCTCCCGATCTTGCCCGCCGACGCCCCGAAGGGTGCTCCGCACAGTTAAGCAGCGCAGATAATTCACCGAACTTTCGCCAATGTGCAACTGCCATCTTTCGGGGCATCTTCTTTCGGCGGCCCCTTTCGGCGGCATCTCGGGGGGGGCAAGCCCAGCGCGCACGGGCGGCCCGCGCGCCTGGGGCCCCGCGGATCCGAGCCCAACGCCCTCGACGAAAAGGCGCAGAACTCCTTCTTTCTGGGGCCACGGCCCACGGGCTCCGCGGCAGCCCAGGGCGCGCGATGCCCTCGGGCCCGCCGTCGAGGGGCCCGCGATACCTGGGCCCCATGGTCGAAGGTGGAAGACTGCGGCGACCGGCGGCGAAGGGGCGGGGCGGCAAACGTCCTGGGCAGCAGAATCGAAGGTCGAAGATTTGCGGGGCGTAGGGCCGGGGCCCCGCGAAGTCCGCGACGCGGCCCTGGGGCCGCGGGGCCCGAGACTCCGGAGTCGTCGAGCGAGAGGAGTGCCCGCGACCCTCGGGCCCCTGAGCCGCGCGCGCCCGCGCAGCCCCGCCAGGAAAGGTTCGAGTTGGGGCGCTCTGTCCGCGCGCGAATGGTTCGTCGACGGGCGGCCCCCTGAACGCTCCGGGAGCCTCGACTTCAGCCCCAGTAGACGCCCCCAAGCGCGCCCTAGAGCCAAGGGCAAGAACGAAGGCGCACGCGCCCAATGAGGACACGGGGGGCGAACGGGCGAGCTCAACGCAGCGCGCTGGGGTCGGCCCCTGGGCGCAGGGCCCCGCGGCGCCCGCGCCCTGGCCGGGGGGGCGGCCCTCGAGCGCATGGACTCGAACTCTTCTGGCAAAGCTGCCCCCAGAAACAATTCGGCGAACGCGTTTTCCACTCCAGCGCAGGGAGGCGCGAATCAAGCGCGCGCAATCGCGCGAGGAAGCGCCGGTGGCCCATTCGCCCTGACACGCGGGCACAGAGAGGAGAACGACGACGACGGCGACGACGGAGACGACGGACGCAACGCTGAAGACGACGGCGACCACCACTTCCAGGCATCGCGCCCGCGCGCGCGCCGCCGCCGCGCGGGCGCCGCCGCGAGCGGCGCCGCCTCGCAACGCGCTCCAGGCGCGACAGGGGCGCGGCATCTTGACTTCACACAAAAGGAGCGCAACGACAATTTCGACGCACCATGCCTAACCGCACCGCCTCCGCGAAGACACCAGCGCGAGCGGGGGGGAGGGGGGGGCAAGAACGAGGGGGAGAAAGTGAGCGCGCAAGAGGAACACTCCGCGCAGGATATCCGAATTTGACCAAATAATATGCGGTGGCCAAAAGCTGCGCCATCGCTCGAAACTCCACGCGGCCTTCCAATGCAACGTTGACTTCGTGGCCCTGCCGCGCCCCGCACAAACTCTCGCGAGACCTTCGCCAACGGTCGTTGCGTTAAAACTTGCTTCAAAACCCCGCGCTGGTTCTTTTATAAGCGATAGCATGGCAGTCGCTTTAATGGGGCCCAAGCGAGTCGGGGCCCGACCACGCGCTGCGGCATCTCGAAGGGCATCACACAACGCCAACAGAAAAACTTGCAAAAACGACATCGAGCCAAACAATACGCAACTCTGAACGTGAAAAAAATCACCGGAGTTTGGCGGTGCCGTAGGTCCTACAGCACCGCCAAGCGGAGCCTCAGCACCCAACGCCCCCGGGGCGGCGGCGACGCCAGGCGCGCTGCTCGCCGCGCTGTGCGACCTTCCTGGATGCCCGAAACGCGCTGCTGTTCCTCATTGTGCTGCTGAACGCCGTGCTGCTCGTCGCCGTCGGGCTCGCGCACAGACGTGCTGGACGCCGCGCAGCATCCCCAACTCCTGGATGTCAGAGACGCCCTGCAGCACCCGAGTTTGCTGCTGGACGTCGTGCTGCGTCTCACCATAGTGCTGCTCGCAGGCGCGCAGCTCGCCCCATGACGTTCCATTTCTGGATGCCAGAGGTGTGCTGTGGCTCGTTATCATGCTGCTGGGGTTTGCGCTGTCCGTCGCATCGGACGGCTCCCAGACGTACTGCCCACCATCCTGCTGGACCAGCTGGATATGGCCTGGGCATGACACCAGGCACGGCATGGCCAGGGCCATGCCGCTATCCGCAGCCGAATGGCGCGGACTGCGGTGGGCAACTGACCCCGCAAGACGTCCAACCGTCGGCAGGCGGCTCGTCCCTGGGGGGAGGCTGCTGCGGCTGACGCCGGCCCCCCCCAGAGGGTTCATGGAACCTGATGGCCAGGCGGCTGGAACGGCCGCCTGGGGTGGCTGTGAGATCTGCTGGGCGTCGAACTGCATGTCGCCGTCGGGCTCGCGCACAGCCGTGCTGCACACCACGCGGCAGTTCTCAGTCCTGAGCGTCAGAGCCGTACTGCTGCAACCGAGTGGGCTGCTGGACTCCGTGCTGCGCCCCGCCATCGTACTCCTCACAATCGAGCGGCTCGCTAAACTGCACGTCCCTAGGCGCGACGTTGTCAGCGGAACCGCCGCCGCCAAGCTGCACGCCCATGTCCCGCTTGCCACAATAGCGCGGCGGCTCTCGAATGCGGTTCCAGACACCGCGCTGCTTGCCGCCGTCGGACGTGCTCACAGACGCGCCGCGCGACGCACTGCACGCCCACTACTGAACCTCTGAATCTTGCTGCCGCACCCAGTTGTGCTGCCGGGCGACGTGCGGCTCGACGCCGCCAACATACTAATAGACACGCTGCTCGCAGCACTGCGTGTCCAACTCGTGGATGCACGAATCGTGTTGCAACTCCTCTTTGCGCTGCTGGCCGTCGTGCTGCTCGTGGGTCGTACTCCTCCCAGCCGAGCTGCACGCCATCCTGCCTATTCCACTCCTGGTAACCAGGGTCGCGCTGTTGCTCCCAGGTGTGGTGCTGAGTGTTGTGCTGATGAGACGCCGTCATAGTGCTCACAGTGGTACTGCTTCAAGCCCGCTGCTCGCAACACTGCACGTCCAAGTCATGGCTGTCAGAGCCGTGGTGCAACTCCCCATCGTGGTGCTGGTCGTCGTGCTGCTGGTGGGTCCTACTCCTCACCACCGTGCTGCATGCCACACTGCCTGTTCCCCTCCTGCATGCGAGAGCCGCGCCGCTGCTCCCCATTGTGCTGCTGGACGCTATGATGAACAATGCCGTCGTACTAACCATAACTATGCCGCTCGCCACACTACTTGTGCCACGCCTGGATGCGAGAGACGTGGTGCTGCGCCCAAGTGCGCTGCCGGGCGATGTGCGATTCGACGTGCTGCTCACTAGCGAGCTGCTCGCAACACTGCGCGCCCAACTCATGGATGCCAGAGCCGTGCTGCAACTCCCCATTGTACTGCTGGACGTCGCTCTGCTAGTGGGTCGTACTGCTTGCTTGCAACCGTGTTGCTCGCCACCCTGCATGTTCCACTACTGGATGCCCAAATCGTGCTGCCCCGACGTGCTGCTCGAAGTAGTGTTGATTGACGCCGTCGTACTGCTCACAAACGTGCTGCTCGTCATGTTGAATTTTCATGTTGGGGCATCGTCGTGCTGATCATATTGCTCGCCATGCTGCCCATCGACGTACTGTTGATGTCCGTCATGCTGACCGCTGTCGTGTTGCTCATACTCGTGCTGCGGATCTGCTCATCGTCGTGCTGCGTATCGTCGTGCTGCCATGGGCCGTAGTCGTGCCACAGAACACCTGATCGTCATGCTGCGTATCGTCGTGCTGCTGGCTGCCTGCTCCTGGACCTCCTCATGGTCCTCCTCCTCCTCCTCCTCCTTCTGCTGGCTGCCTCTGGGCCGTCGGCCTGATCCTCCTCCCAGCCGTCCTCGGTGAGAACATGATGTTGGTGAGGGTGATGAGGATGTGCGCGTGCAAACATGAAACGAGGGCGACGACACCGACGATGACGGCGAAGATGTCGATGGTGATGATGACTCCGAAGGGGTGCGCGCGGAGGTGTTCACAACATCGTACACGTACTTGGTTGACAAAGAGTGGGGGTCACACATGTGTTTGAACACGTGTGCGTTGGAATGCGTACAACGCCGATAATTTTGAAATGAATTCGACGTGCGCGCGCGGAGACTCGTGCGAGTGGCCCGCACGGTCGTATTTGACAGAGTTGATAGGTTTGCGATGGCTCTTGAATGATTTTGACACGCGCGCGCGTGCGGCCAGAAGGCCCTCATTTGTCGGAACGATCAACACAAGCTGTTTCCTTATGTTTTCAGCGAGCGTGGGCGCGACGAAGCCTGGCATGTCCAAGCTGGGGAAGAACAGGTTTGTGGTTCTTGGGCAACTGCGCCTTGAAACTGTGAAGCACCATGATGTTGGATAGGGACTTGACATGCGCGCGCGGTGCACTGTGGTGTGCTTGACTGGTGTCGGCATACGCGCGCGTTCAACAAGCATGGTCGCATCCGACAACAAAAACATCAACAGCCAATGGTTGTCATATGGGTTCAGCGAATGCGCGCGTAGAAATCTGTCAGCGTTTTGGTAAACTCGCCATGGGTGTTAAGTAGCTTTTGGACAAGTACATTGTGGATCTGGAGATCATTTGTTATGATTTGACATTCACGCCTGGGCGGCGTGCGGATGTTGGCTGTACTATAAAAGTTGTTAAGGGTTTCGACAACATGCAACTGTCAGATCACCGCGTGTGCACCGCATTCTATTCTCTTCAAAAGATGCGGAGGGAACGATGCTGCATCAGCAGGCGCGGTATTAGTCGGTATTGGAAACTAGCGATCGCGCAAAATCAAAATGGAGCGCGCAACACATGAACGAGAGTATACGTCTGGCCTCTGCAGTGGGGTCGGCCCGAATTCTTTTTACGCAATAAGAGCCTGTGAATTGCAATCCTTCTCAAACACGGGGTACGATCTAGGGGTGCAGCCTGCAGGGTGCAACAGACAGAGTGCAAACTGAGGGCTTCAGCCCACTGGGTGCGATCCAGCAGGTGGAATATCAACTATCCGAACATGCCAAAATCGCTTCCGCCCCTTGGGTACGACACACGAAACTATGATTGCAAATATGGTTTAGGGTACGTACGCAAATTCACACACGCATAGTGGAACACATCATGGCCAATTTCACAACGGCGGTCTCGTGGTCTCATCTTCCTTCCCCTTCACCATCCCTTTCTTTGCATCTTTCCTCTCCTCCTCCTCCTCCCCACCTCCCCCTTCCCCCTCCCCTTCCTGGTCGTTGCCGTCGTCGTCGTCCTCCTCCTCCTCCTCACGTCATCCCTCTCATCTTGCCGACTCCTCTACCACATCGCCAGGCCGCCATCCACAGCCTGTGACCACTGTCAACACAACTTCCTCGTACTTGTCGCGGCCACCCGCCCGCGATCGTCTTGCAAACAGCCGTTGCCAGATAACGACAAGCAGTGTCTACAAATATTCAACGATTAACCATGTCTACCCGCCACCGTGCCGGTGGCACGCTGTGGCGTATCAGGGTGCCTCTGTGGATCTGGTGAGGGTTCTGTACTTCTAGGGCCCATCGCGCCCCCCTACCCGCGCGAGTCATCAGAATATCGACCCCCCTGTTGTTTCGCAGTTCGGCGCTATTTCTGGCCTCTGTAAGATTCCCAGAAAAGCAACACCGTCCAAAAAGCCAGGAAGAACTCCCAATATTATCCAGGGACTGCCCATAGAGCTCCCAAAGGCTCCAAGATCTCCCCAAGACAACCCAAAACTCCTCCAAGATACGTTCAAAGAGACCTTTATCGATGCCCCAAGAGGTGAAACCCATTGAAAAACCTCAGGGGGATCTGTGTTTTTGGCTCCAGAGGCTATTCGGCTTCAGATCGTCTCGAGGAAGTTTCAGAGGAGCCCCGAGAAGCCCCAAAGACCGGCCAAAACTGCGCCAAGAGAGTACCCAAATGGCCCACAGGCGGCCCGAGAACCCTCCAAGACGGCTCAAGAGGGCTCCAATGCAGCCCCAAGCCAAAGGGAACGAGGTCGGCTTTAAGACCCACGCAAGTTCAGACCGCGCGTTGAACTGGCGTAGGTCTTAAACTCAACCTCCTTCACGCTATTGTTGTGTGCTTGCACGGTTCTAGGGTTTGCCGCAAGCAGCTGGATAGTCTGATCGCCATCGAACTATTGCAACAAAGCAATGAGAGGCACGCGCACCACTCCGCAATTTCGCACGGCTTGCCCTCCACCTCGCCCTCCGTCACCTGAGGGCGCACGAGCGGGATGGGATGAAAGACGGAGGGAGGGAGAGCAAGGAGGAGGAGGAAGACAAAGACACAACGGACCCCCACCCTTCTAAAACAAGGTGCTAACCTCCAGCCCGGAGGGTTGGGCTTCCATTTCGGTAGCTTGGGGGCGAGAAGAAGGACAAGTAGGCTGAGAGCTTGCAAGCGGGTCGCGGCAGAGAGAAAGCTCCACGGCGGACCTCGCGGCATCACTCGCCCCGTTCCTCCTTCCGCCACGTTCTCCCTCCTCTCGCCTGGACATGTGTGAGAATCGATGTCCCCTGGACGCTCGCCTAAGGTTCTCAGGCAAAATTACTCCGACGGTAAGACCCCCGCATGAGAATATGCTTAGCCTGCCTGGGGATATCCTCCTGCCCCCTCGCTTCTCCCACCTACTCATGCCTCCTCCTTTCCCTCATGCCTCCTCCTCCTCCTGCCTCAACCCCTGCCTCCTCCTCTTGCCTCCTCCACCAACACCACCTCCTCCTCCTCCATTTCCTCCTCCTCCTCCTCGTTATGCTTCCCCCCCATTCCCCATGCGCCTCCTGGCTCCTGCGTCCTCCTTATCCTCCTGCTGCTTTCCCTCTTCCTCCTCCTCCTCCTCCTCTTCCTCCTCCTCAGCCTCCCCTCTCCATATTCCTCTTCTCCCTCTCCCTCCTCCGCCTCCTCCTCCTCGTCTCCATCTTCCCTCCCCTCCTCCGCCTGCCCCTCCTCCTGCCTCCTCCTTAGGCTTCACGCCTCCTCCTGGGGACTCTTGGGGCCTCTTGGGGCCTCCTGGAGCCTTCTGGGCCTCCCAGGACATCCTTGGGCCTCCTAGGGCACTCCTCTTCCTCCGTGTCCTCCTCGTCCTTCTCGCCCTCTGCTTCCTCCTCCCCCTCCTCCTGCTTCTCTTTCTCGTCCTGCATCCTCCTTCCTCCTTATTCCTCCTCCTCCTCGTGCGGAACACGACCCAGAGGAAGCGCACGACATGCGTCCCGGCGGATACGCGCCGGAGGACGACCCAAAGGAAGCGCGCGCCGGAGGACAACCCCGAGGAAGCACGAGAGGTGCAGGCCCCATAGGGAGGGGGCTTCCGCTTGAGCCTTCCTCACAATTCACTCACAGACGAGGCTCCCGCCTGATACTTCCCCCATATTCAAGCCTCAGGAGTCAAAAAATGAAGACAGTTACGAGTTCGAGGGTGACTCGCTCGGATCAGAAACATGAAATGAACCTCGCAATCCACTCACAGACGAGCCTCCCGCCTGATACTTCCCCCATATTCAGGCCTCAGGAGCCCAAAAGTGACGACGGTTACAGGTTCGAGGATGACCCGCTCGGATTACCAACATGAAGTGTGGGCCACATAGGGAGAGTGCTCCCGCCTGAGACTTGCTCGCAATTCACTCACAGATGAGCCTCCCGCCTGATTTTCCGCCATATTCAAACCTCGGGAGCCCAAACGTGACGACAGTTTCAGGTTCGAGGATGACCCGCTCGGGTTACAAAACATGAGATGCGGGCCTCATAGGGAGAGGGCTTCCGCCTGAGATCTCCTCGCAGTCCACTCGGAGACGACGCTCCCGCTCGAGACTTCCTCAATATTCAGGCCAGGGGGTGAGTGATGACGATGTGGTGAGTGAGCAAGTGATGATGATGAGTGGTGATGATGATGGTGATGAGTGATCGAGTGATGCTAATCCTGATCATTGATGGTGATGAGGGGGAGGAGGATGTGGTGGTGGTGGTGGTGTGTTCCTGCGCGGGGTGTCCAGAGAAAACGATGCTGAGTGATGAGAGAGAGTGTGTGATGTGCGACTGAGTATGATGATGATGGCGGTGGTGATGCTGATGATGATGATCGATGGCCGATGGTGGTGGTGATCGATGGTGAGTGACTGTGTATGATGATGATGGTGGTGATGATGATGATGCTGATGATGATGCTGATGATGATGATGACCGATGGTGGTGATGACCGATGACGGGGTGAATGCGTGAGTGAGGCGGAGCGTGGGAGGGAGGTGAAGTTCCTGCGCGGAGGGTGTCCAGCGAACAAGAACCCCACTTTGGATGTGGGGAATGAGCCAGCTAAGAAACGGGGCAGTAAATTTTCAGGTGCCCGCGACGTGACTCAGCCGAGACTCCAAATCTATCCTTGCCCCCCTCACAAACTCCACCTCGCCATCCCCCCTCCCCTTTCCACCCGTCCCATTTCCCTCCGTCCGCTTACCCCGTCTCCTGCCCCCCCGTCCCCTTCCCCCGTACCCTTCACCCCTCCCCGTCCTTCCCCTCTCCCTTCCCAATAATCCTCTTCCTCCCCCTTTCCTCCTGCTCCTGCTCCTCCTCCTCCTCCTCCTCCTCCTCCTCCTCCTCCTCCTCCTCCTCCTCCTCTACCGCCTTATCCCTCCTCCTAATGGACGGCTGCGGTAGAGACCATCGACCTGCTGTTCCTCGCCAGGAGCATCGTAAAGAGTCCACGCTAAGTCTCAACGCAGGAAGCCAGCTTCAGTTCAGGCGAATGAGAGTCGGCGATCTATTGATCCTCCCCATCCTCCTCCTGCCCCTGCCCTTGCTCCTCCTTCCCCCATTCCTCCTCCCTTCTTCTTACTCTTCTTCTTCTTCTTCTCCTTCCTGCTTCCCCGCTGTTCCTCCCATTGTTCCCCTTCTCCTCCTTCTCCTCCTGATTTCCCCCTGTTCCTCTTCTCATCCTGCTTCCCCGTCGATCCTTCTGCTCCTCCTTCCCCTCTGCTCCTCCGTTGTCCTCCTATTTTTTCGCTGTCGTCGTCGTCGTCGTCATCGTGCGTCGTCGTCGTCCTCGTGCGTCATCGTCGTCGCCACGGCGAAGAGGAGGAGGAGGAGGAGAAGGTGTCGGAGGAGGGGAAGGGGATCAAGAAAGAGGGGGGAGAAGGGAGGGAAGCGGAAGAGAGAGGAGGATATTGGTTCGATTGATCGTCGTAGTTGTCCTCCTCCTCCTCCTCCTTCTTCTCCTCCTTCTCCGTCGCCCCCTCCCACCACTCCCCTCCTGTCCCCGCCTCCCCGTCAACCGCCTCATCTGCCTTCCCCTCCCCCTCCCCCCCTCCGGCCCGTGCTGCTCCTGTTCACCCTCCTCCTCCTCCTCCTCATCATCATCATCAGCATCATCAGCATCCTCAGCATCATCATCATCATCATCATCATCATCATCATCATCATCATCATCATCATCATCATCATCATCATCATCATTACCACAATCACCATCACCACCACCATCACAATTATCATCATCACCACCACCACCATCATCATCATCATCAGCATCATCAACATCATAATCAGCATCCGCATCAGCATCAGCATCAGCATCAGCATCAGCATCATCATCATCATCATCATCATCATCATCAATGGCCTCACCATTCTCCCCCTCTTCCTCCTCCTGCACACGCCGCTCCCCCCCCTCCCCATCCCCTTCCTCCGTCGCCGCTCCCCCTCCGTAGCCAGTTTGGCTCAAGATGCTTGTTCCGCAGGGGAACACGTGGATACCGCTAGTCCGCGGCAGCTTCCAGTGATTTTGTGAGCTCTTGTTGGAGCGAGATTCGTGAGCTCCTTCTGGAGCATCGATGGGTGGTGGAAAGAATGCGTTCACGACGTGTGCGGAGTGTGGCAACTGGGCCTGGAACTGGCGTCTCAAGCGTCAGAAAAGGGGCTTGCGCCATCTGCGGCACACTGCAGCCAGGATGGACGACTTCGGCGAGTGGCACGTGGTACGCACCATGGTGGGGAAGTCATACCGACTGGCCTAAGCTTCCTGCCACCCTCTCTCTGGACGGCTACATGTCAAAGGCGATGGAGACCGCTGGCTTGGGGAAGGATCCTGAGGCGGCCAGGCTCGCGTCGCAGCTCAAGGACCTCGCGGCGGCGAAAAAGCCCGCCCCGACTCCGAAGCCAGCGTACTCTGTGCTCAAGGAGGCCACAGCTGAGTGCTCGCGCAAGCAAGGGGCCTTGGACAGGGCTGCCCGTTCCGTCGAGCACGCCAAGCTGCAGCTGGAGAAAGCGAATGCGGCCTTTGAAAAGGCCACGGACGACATGGTCGAGGCTGAGTGCGCGCGCCTGCAGGCCCAGGAGCGTGTTGGCAAGACCCCCGACAAGGCGCCCGAGGGCATCACCTTCGCAGTGGACCCTTCCTTGTTCGAGTTCCTTGAAGAGCTGGAGGAGTCGGACAGGACGGCGCTGGAGACCTTCCAGAAGCAGCTGGAGGACATATCGAAACAGGCCACGGCGAAGCAGAAGGAGTTCTAAGCGCTCCTCGACCAGGCGAAGACTGCCCACCGTGAAGCAGCTACCAAGCGGCGCCGCCGCGACGTGGACGGTGGCGCCGTCCGTGGCGAAGGGGGCGCTGGCGGGCCGCCTACGGCTCGGCCGCCGCCAGGCGGAGGTGCGCCCACTGCGCCCAGCCAGCGGCCCTGCTCGTCGGCTGCCGTCTCGGAGGAGGTGCGCAGGGACATGCGGGCCAAGTTCGCCGCCAGCTCGGAGGCCCAGGCCAGGGAGGCCAAGGGCGCGGGCAAAGGCGGCGGCGCCCCCGCTGCCTCTGCTGCTACTGCTGGGACGGCTAGTCCCAAGCCCTGTGCAGCAGGGCCCGCAGCGGTGAGGCGGTGCACCGCGTGTACCTCATTTGCGCGACGGATCACGTGCGACGTCACACTCAGTTTCAGAGGATGACTCGCTGATCACTCTCTTCGGCAACATCACGGAGTGGGGGCCGCAGGCAGCGCGATCCCTGGCGAGGGAGTCTGAGCGCAGTGTAGTGGCCTTCTGCGAGACACACGAGGGTAAGGACGACCTGCCTGACATCTGCGCAGGTTTGGACAAGGACGGCTGGAGGCTCGCCCACACTGCGGCTCGCCCCTCGGGCAAGTCGGAGAGCGGGCTCCCTGGCGGGGAGTGGGTTCTGACGAAGAAGCATATTGCAGCGACGAGCTTTGGGAGTGCCCGCCGCGCTTCTGTGGACGCTGGCAGGCTGGGCCCCTGCCGCGGCTTCGCGCCGATTGTGCTGCACACCAAGGCAGGCAACTTGGTGCTAAACTCCGCCTACCTCCAGCCAGGGTTGGGAGTGAAAGGATGGAATAATGACGTACTGGTGGCGCTGGGGGCTTTTTGCGCGCTCCTTGGCGGATCCGTCCTTGATCATGGCGGACTGGAATATCGAGCCCGCCCCCTTCACCGCCACAGGCCGGCCAGAGCGCCTTGGCACGAGGAT